GCACCGCCTCCTGCTGCGCGTCCCCGGGGCGGCCCCGCGCGCCCGGACGGGGCTGCGCCTGCAGGGGGAGCCCCTGGGGCGGCGGGGGCTCCCAGGACGGAGCTCGCAAGGGCGAGGGGCGCAAGTGACGCTGTCCGTTGACCGTCCACACAGTTGCAGTTCGTTGCGCTACTAAGGCACCACTGGCCGCGGTTTTCCATGCATGAACAAAGCACTGCACGCAGCACTGAGGAGTCGGGCATTTATTACCCGGAGGACGGGCGTTCTACCTATTGTCGCTTTCTTACGCATGAGCGGAATGTAAAACAGCTCCTAAAATGTAAAGGAAGCTTCGCTGAGCATCATGGGCAGATCCGTATCAGGTCGATGCCTTTACTAGGCCCATGGGAAGACCGCAGGCCTATGCAGACTTTCGCGATGTACAGGTCTCTTCGTCCGGGAAGATGGCACGGGCGACGGGGCTTGACGGGCAAATCGCCCGCCGCTCCGCCTGCTTTTCGTTACCTCTGCCCCGATGAAGAGACCCGCAGGTCGCGAAAGCGGGCGGGTGTCTTGCGTAGGAGCCAGCGCGAGTCCTTACGTAGAGTAGACCCACCGAAACGCATAGGGCCTCCGGAAGTCACGTCTGAGGGAGCCACCCGGCTCAGCGGGCCCGCTGCGAGCGAGGGCGGAGCGAGCGCGGCCCATTGTGATCCGGCGGCCGCGCTCCAGGCGCCGCGGCGTTCGGTGGGCTTCGCAAGGCGGCGGCGTCGACGGCGAGCGGGGCGCCCCGCCCGCACCGAGCGGCAGGCCCCTCCTCCCGCGCAGGTCACAAACGCGTCAGCACCCGGCCCCGCCCTCTTCCGGGTGCCTCCCGCGAAAGGCACGCCGGGACCTGCGGTCTTCTAGCCGGCGCGGTCGGCCGCGCGGCGAGGCGGCGCCCTTGCGGAGGACTGCGCTTCCCGACGTGCCCCGCGGCCGGGCCTGAGTGTCGCGTCGCTGCGTGCGTGAGCGCGTGAGGGGCGGGGCAGTCGGTGCGCGGTGCCGGAGGCGGCGATGACCGCGGCGGCGGCGGAGGACGCGGCTGCGCTGGCGACGCGGAGCCCGTAGCCGGAGCGGGCGGGCGGCCTCCCTCCCTCCCTCCCGGGCGCAGGATGTTCGGGCGGTCGCGCGGCTGGGGCGGCGGCAGCGGCGGGCACGGCAAGGCCGCGCGCAACATCCACTCGCTCGAGCACCTCAAGTGAGTCTGCGCGGGGACTCCAGTGCCCAGCAGCCCCGGCCATGCCGTCGCGGCCGAGCTCTCCCTCCCTCCCCCGCCGCCGGCCGCCGGCTCGGCCGCGCCTTGCGGCGGCCCGATCCCTGCCGGCGCGGCCTGTGGCCGATGGGCCTTGCGGGCCTTGCGGGCCGGCCTCGGAGTGGCGGCCCGGCTTGCCCAGCGCTGCCCGCGGGCCGCCTACGCGCCGGTGGGTCGCTGCCCGGCCGCAGCCCTGGGGCCAGAGAGGCGCGCGGGGGGCTGCCCTTCGGCGCCGGCCGCGGGGCGTCCCGCTGGCCCCGCCGTGCTTGCGCAGGAGCTTCTCCCGGGCTCCCTGCCAGGCGCCTCCTGGCCGCAAAGCGGCGCTCCGTCGCCCGGCCCGGCCCGGCCCGGCCCCTCCATCGCACCCGGAGGGCCGCAGGTGTGCCGCGGGCGCAGGCCCGCCTCCCCACGCGTGCCGAGGCGTTGCGGGGGGGGGGGTCAGGACAGGTGAAAGAGCGCCCCGGCTGCCAGTGCTGATGTGTCCAGCGTCCCAGACCATGTGCCTGCGCGCTGGCTGCTGGGGAGCTTGAGCAGGCGCGTCCCGTTGCGTTGCCCACAGGCAGCCGACTGGCCTCTGTGCAGGAACCGGTGCGCCTGGTCTGGGTGCTTGCATTAGCCTCCCGGGGTGCGCTCTGACCTCCCCCATCTCCCCAGAGCGGTTCCGCTGTCACCCCCGCTGGAGGCACCGCGCTGGGAAAGCTGGGGTTTCCACATGCACGCGGATGTCCCTTAGTCTTTGCTTCCTGTGCTGTGTAGCCCAACGAAGAGCTCTGGGGAACGCAGACGCTTGCGCATTGTTGTGGCGTTTGGGCTGGACGGGCGAAAGCCATTTCCCCACCCCGCCCACATGCCTGTTCACGTATGTGCGCATGTGCGGAGCAATTGGAACTCCCGCCAAGCTGGCGCCCTCCAGATATTTGGCAGCAACCCCCAGGGATCATGGCTGTGCTGTGGGGCAGGAGGTGTGGCCCAGTACCTTTGGGGGCCTCGGGTCGGCCGGAGTGTTGTACTCTGGCCAAGGGGACGGGAAGGCGGCCTGCTGCGTGACTTCGGGCCAGACCTTCCTCGCAGGGTGGCTGTGAGGTTAACGTGGGGAGGCGGGTCCTGCATGCGCCCTGAGCTCCGTGGAGGACGGCTGAGGTGCCCGCTCGGTGAGCAATGCTCAGTCGCTCTGTCTCATCCACGCAGGCAACGCTTTGCGAAGGACCTGGGCAGCTTGCGTTCTCAAAATAGGCCTGACGTGACCGTGACCGGGGCAGTGGGGGCGAGGCGAGGCGAGAGCCACGGGGACGGTCCTGCCGCAGACGTGCTCGCTTCCAGACCAGCTGATGGGTCCCGGCCACGAGGGCCTTCCAGCCTAGGGCGTCACATCCGCCCAGAGAACATGCACTGCTGCACCGATGAGAAAGGTCCTCAGTAGATGGCATGTGACACAACACAGCCAAGGGAGGGTGTGTTTGTGTTGCCTCTAAGGGAGAGGTAGTGTGGTCATGCTTACCAAGCTGTGTGGCTCTTTTAAAATGCTTCCGCCCTTCGTCTGTTGTGGGCCACTCTGCTTATTTTTTCCAAGCAGAAAAGCTGGGTATAAATATTTTGAAGATCAAAGCCACACACATAACTTGTGTTGGAGTGTTGTGTGCATTGAACGCTGTAACTGCAGACCTCATTGTTTGCTGGGTAGCTTTCTTTACATTTGCGCATATGCATCAGCACATACTCATGCGTAATGCACTGACTCGGAATACCGCGCTGGCTGGGAATGATGGAGGGCGTAGTCCGGCATCTTTGGAGGGTGCCAGCTTGGAGAAGGCAGGTGTAGGCAGGTGCTTTACTTTTTAAACTTGTAAAAGTACAAATCTGTAGACAACACAAGTTAAAAAAAGTATTATCCCACCATGCGCTGGCCAAGGGCACATGATGTCACCACCCACTTGAAGCCGAATAGATCCAGGTGCGCTTGTGCTTGGATGGGGGAGCACCTGGGGAACACAGGCACTCCACCTTCAGGTCTGTGGTAGAAGAAATGTGGGAAAGACATGCGCTGAACCAAAGCGGCGTTGCACCAGGGGCAGCCGCTGCGGAATGGCAAATTATGTTGCAGTTTTAAGTCCAGCCATGCATGTGTATGTGACCTTCGCACTGAGAGGTTTTCTGGAGGCAAGCAAATACAGAGCAAATGAGCATGAAGACCTGCATGTTTGTTTGTTTGTTGGTTTGTTTGTGTGCACACGTGTGTGGTAGGATCTGGAGCCTGCTTGGAGCAGGTGTACCGGAATCTGCAAGGCTTAATTTAGTCATAACCAACCTAACTCATTAATTTCAGGGGGTCTGTGCTAAGCATGATTAATTCTCTATCCAGCTTCGAGTATATTATAAAATACACTGATGTCTAGTGCAAAACATCATGCCTACACCTTAAAGCTATTTAGCTCGTTCTAACACCCTCCATCATCCTTACACGGCTGGATCCTCTGGTAGTCCTGGGATTCAGAGCAGGCTGCCTGGGGGCGCCAGGGGAACACGGAAATGCTGGGATATATTTGCAGCCCCTTTCTCTTTTGTCAGTTGCTTTCATTATATATCAGTTCCGGAACCTTGGTGGGACCCAGGAGCACTGCTAGGTCATTCTGCTGTGTTGTCTTTGGGATCGCAACACCTCTGCGTGTGGAAAGGATTGTGGGTTTTGGCCAGCCGGAGGTGTCCGTGCCCAGCGATGTGTGCGTGATTTGGTCAGCTGTGGTTATGAGGGTTCTGCGTAGGGCTGTGCGCGGAAGGGTTGTGTGTGCCAGTGTGTAAGGTTGCGGAGAGTTACCAGCTAGAAAGTCAGGCTTCCCCCAATGCTGAGGCTGTGCTGTAAATAGGTGAAGAGCCGCTGAGAGACCTGCGGCCCGGAAATAAATAGAGGAAGCAAAGGCATGGGGCATGCTGGGAACTGTGGGACCGTGAGATGTCACCTGCCCTCAAATGCAGGAGCTAAATTGCAGCGCAGAGTTGCGTTGTGCGTCTCTTCGGCTCTGTTCCCCCATCTGTGAAACGACACAGTCTATCCCCTTTTCCTTTGCCATGTCGGGAGCCGACAACACCGCTTGGTCTTGTTTATCATATTTCCTTGGATACTAGTTTCTCTCTGGGGTTTGTTCCCAAGGAAGTGTAAACAGGACGGCAGCCTCTGATCAGTCGGAGGGATGTGAAATTCTTGGAAGTGTTGCATCCTGTATCTTAGAAGTAGCGCTTAGCCCGGCTGTCTGTCCTGACTCAGCAGGTGGACCAGCTGGTTCCAAAGGGCCAAGCCTCAACACTTTGATTGCCGTCAGCCAGGCCCCGATTACCCTTCCTTATTTGTGCTTCTCCTTTCAGATACTTGTATCACGTTCTGACCAAAAATACCACTGTGACGGATCACAACCGTAACCTGTTGGTGGAGACGATTCGATCCATAACTGAGATCCTGATATGGGGAGACCAAAATGACAGTTCAGTGTTCGAGTAAGAATTTTGCCTGGCTGCTTATCACTGTGTCCTCCTGCATGTTAATGTGTTATATAACACTGCAGTACACGAAGCTCGATCAAAATTAAACTGCTAGTCCGTTAATGCAAAGCGTGGCACGACTCACAGATTTAGGATTGTGGCCTCAAATCACGAAAGGCAAAGGGACTAACTTCCAGTCTTTAACAGGCCTACGCACTAGAACTTTGTGTTGGATTACAGCTTAAAGCTGACGCGTGTTCAGCCTGGGAAAACCTGCCAGGTGCTCGCAGCTCCCCCATGGAGGTCACCCGTTTGGGGAAGGCTGGCACAGCGGCATAAAAGGAGGATCACCAATCTGCCGATAGCAGTTTTGGAAAAACAAGGATGCTGTTCTATGTATGTTTAGGTAGAATTACTGGCTGGGACATGCTGGGAGTGGCATTTTAGTTATTTATTTAGTTCAGTTTTAGACTGAATAATAGCCGGGGCGCTCTGAGCAGTCAACAGGTGTTAGGATTATATAAAAATTAAGGCGCACACACAAATTAAATCAAAAGAGCAAAACCATAATTGCAATTGCTGTTATTCAGTGCAGAAGCAGCAGTGCAGAATAAAATGGGATATATAAAAAGAAGTTTGAATGTCAGATTGTTAAAATGCTGGGAAAATAAGTCTTTACCTGGCACCAAAGAGAGTACAAAACAGGTGCCAGATGCACCTCTTTGGCGGGGTTATTCCAGAACCAGGGGGCTGCAACTGATAAGGCCCTCCTCCTAGGAGCCACTCACCTCCCTTCCTTCGGGGGGGGGGGCTCCCAGAAAAGGACCCCAAGTTGTGGAGGATTTTGCCCTCAGCTTCTTACAATCAAGCGAGGACGATTTCTCCAATCCAAGATCGCAAACCCATCGCTCACCCCTTTGCCCGGCATTCCAGCTTCTTCTTGGAGAAGAACATGTTTGTGTTCTTCCTGAACATCTTGCGTCAGAAGTCCGGCCGTTACGTGTGTGTGCAGCTTCTGCAGACCTTGAACATCCTCTTCGAGAATATCAGTCACGAAACCTCCCTGTGTAAGTACGCTTGTGGGCGCCAGGGCTGGCCCCGTGCTGAAGGCCGTGGGCTTGGGACACGGAAAGGGTGGCCATGTCCGGTCCCTTCTGCTGCAGCTCAGCGTCCTTTTGGCTGGGATGTGGAAGCTAACCAGCACTTCTAAAGAGAAGGCTGTAAAAATGTTTAACTGTGTGTGTATGTGCGTGCGTGTGTGGTTGGAGAGACAAGCAGGAGGGCGTGCGTGCCGGAGCAAGCTTTGCGTTGGTTGTCTCAGCAGCAACTCTTTTCAGCACCCCATGGTCTGAAGCGGGAACTGGGTGAATCTGTGAGGTGGCAGGTCCGATTTTCTCTCCTCCGCATGCACACATCTCCAAAGCCACTCTAAATCTGAAGCAGGTGACCTGAGTTTGGGTGGAAAGCATAGGATACAAATCATAAAGAATTAATCATTTGATTTGGTGTCAAGGTTTTTTGATCTGCATTTGCTGTTTCTTTTTTCAGAGCAGTAAATACAAAAAGTTAGTCGAGATCTGTTGATGGGAAAGAGAAATACATGAAATTTGAAAGTGAGGCCTTTCTGCACTCCTTTCCTCTTTTGTTGTGTTCCTTAAATCTGCAAGAAGCTTGCTTTTGTGTAGTTGAGACGTGTGGTCTTTTCACTTTAGAACAGCCTCTGTTTCCAGAACACCATTTCAGTTATCTAAGAATAAACAGAGCTGAAAAATTAGTCGTGTGTAAATGAGATAGATCTGTGCAGAGACGTTTGTGGCACAGTCTAAATTTTGACGATTGAAACCTTTGTTCTGATTACAAACGTGCTCCTTTCTCTCAGACTATCTGCTTTCTAACAACTATGTCAATTCGATCATCGTGCACAAATTTGACTTCTCGGATGAAGAGATCATGGCGTACTACATTTCGTTCCTGAAAACACTTTCTCTGAAACTCAACAATCACACTGTGCATTTCTTTTACAATGAGGTAAGCCACAGGAGCCTGCTCAAGCTGAAATGAAAATGCAAGTACTCTGACGGCACCGTGTGTGTGAGAGTGGCCAGTGCTGCGTGATCCCAAGCAGAGCTGAAGAGCCCGGGGTGTCTGCCTCTCCCACACGTTCTCCTCGTGGTTGCCTTGGTTAGCCTGGCCCAAAATGCGTGTGTTGATTCCATTGCCCGTATCCCTTGGGCCTTCTACGGACGTCCCTTTAAGTATTTGCCAAGCAGTGAGTTTCTTGCTTGTCCGAAGTCCCCTGATGCCCCCCAGGAGCGCTGGACTTGAACCTTGAACCCCAGCGACGATGAGAGCGGTGGGGGAGCCCGTCTCACTGAAGAGGCACCTCAGAAGCTCTGCATTTGTGCAACGCTGCAAAGCGAGAATTGCTGTTCAGTCTTGTTTTCTGAAACTTCTTGGGTGTCTGATACAGCCGAGACTTGTGGGTTGTTTCTCTTGGTGTTTTTTCTGTTGAAATTATGTGAGCCACTGTGGAAGTGCAGTGGACTGAGAGACAAAATAGAGCTGTACGAAGCACATCGTACCTGCCACATGTCTTCTCTTTCAGCACACGAATGATTTTGCGTTGTACACAGAGGCAATCAAATTCTTCAACCACCCGGAAAGCATGGTCCGGATTGCAGTTCGAACGATAACTTTGAATGTCTACAAAGGTAAGTGCCCGAAACGCAGGGGCTCGGAACGACGGGCGCGCGGCACCCGGGCCGCGTCAGCAGAGGCGCTCGCGTGCAGCCTCGGTCTGGCGACTCTGATTTGGAGGGGTACCTCAGACGTTGGGGTTTTGTAGAAAGATGCAGAAGGCTGAAGCACAGCACAGCTGAGGGTAGTACTCTCGGAAGACGGCTCTGCGTCACGATCGCCGTCCCTGTGTCCGTGAGAGGAAACAGCAGCAGCCACTAGAGGTCCTTCTTAGCTAAGTCTTCCAGCGCCCCCTCTGGCTGAGAGATTGTTCGTTAGGAGGAATGTTAAGTTGCAAGGTCGGATCTGAGCCTTGAGGGCTGCCTGTGTCTCGCCTTCCTCTTCCCCCCGTCTTTCCTCTTCCCCCTCTGTCCGTGGGTGTGTGTTTTTGTGTGTAAACCGTGTTCATCAGTGAAGAAAATGTCAGTATGCCGTAGAGCAGAATGCAGCAAAGCAAAGTATTGTCGTGGAAAACGGGGGCCTGGGTTATCCCCCCCAGGAGCTGGCGTGAGCCGTGAGTGGAGGGTTCAGGCTGTCCTTGCAGACTCGCCCATTCAGTCCGGTGATGCTGCTCAGGAAGCGGCCGTGCTTGGGTGTCCATTTCTTGGTGGTTGTGCAGGACGCTCCTGTCCGTACTGTCAACCCGTGGCTCATTTGGGGGTTACAAGGCCAGGCTGTTCCTTCCCTGGCATCTTACAGTACAGGTTTAGAAGGCACAAGAGACAGTCAAAGGATGCACCACCCCTCGGTTCTCCAGTTCCGCGGCAGTGGGTTAGCCGGAGCCGGGCCGACGAGGTTGTTTCAGCTGCAGTGGCCGGGCCCAGAAGGCGAGTCGTGCGGAAAGCTCCCGCCTTGTGGCACTTGCGAAGGCCGGGCCCAGGCGCGGCCCTTTCCGCCTCAAATTAGGGTGAGGAGCAAATCCGGGTTAGGGTTTGGGTTAGGAAAACGAGGCGTCCTGGCATGGTTTTGATGGTTGGAGTGTGCTTAGAATGGGCAGAAAGGATGAGCTGTGCAGAAAAAGCTACTTAGGGAGGCTTTTTCAAAATCGCCCTCTTTTCAATGGAACTTTAGCCCTGTATTAGGGTTAGGGGTGTGCACCAGGGTAGGGTTAGGGTTAGGAAAACGAGGTGTCCTGGCATGGTTTTGATGGTTGGAATGTGTTTAGAATGGGCAGAA